TCACACGGCGCCCGAGAGACCATGAGGCCGTGCTGTGCTTACCTTTGAAGAGCGGGGCGATGTTCCACACTGCCATGGCGCCTCTGTCCATGAACTGGCCAATGCCCACTCCAGGAAGAGGAGCGGCACCGCCATTAGGGCGACGAACAGCAGGTAAATCAGCAGAAACGCGCCTGGAACAGCAGCAGCCTCGTCCGCGTCTCAGCCGGCGGCGGAGTGTCACTCAGCCCGACAGTGTAGGCGGTGGCCATGTGTCACCAGCCGGGCTTAGTCGGCGTTGTCAATGTGTCAGTCGCGCAGACGGGCGGTAAGCGCTCCAGGGCGCAACAAGCGCCGCCATGTTAGTAGAGCCAGTGAGACAAACGTGTCAGCGGGCTTTTTGTGAACAGCGTGGACACCGGGGTTGATGCTGAACTATGTAAGCCGCTGGCTGCACCTCAGCCCGCGGTTCACCGCGGCCATGGTCAGGCTGGGGCTGCGTGGGAGTTTCAGGACGCAGAGGCCACCAGTTCACTGCAGCCATGGCTAGTCTACGCTTGAGTCGGGTGCCGCAGATCCGCGGCTGCTGATTTGCTCGATAATTTTTAAACTCCCACCCGAAAAACAGAAATAAGAGCATCCTCAATATTACTACCGTAACTACATTAATTATGCCGAACAAGATCGACTAAAAAAAATATTGAAAAAAACATTAAGTTCACACTCGTCAGAGGAGCCAATGACAACGCTCTTAGATTATGGCTACATTGCACAAATGCTGAACCTGGAGAACTTAGATCACATCATAGATTTTAGATAATAAAAACAGCCATATGGTGACAGGCATGCTGCCATCCAACCCCACGTGTTCATTTCGGAAGAATTTGCGGTGTTTTATCATCTGATTCGTCTTGTCATGCTGAATTCGGATATTTAAAACTAAAGTTAAAATTTTCACAAGCTTTTAGGTAAAAGAAAGGGCTAGAGGTTTGTGAAAATTTCAACTGATGGTTCAGATAACCGAATTCAACATAAGCAGGTGAATCAGATGACATAAAAACCGCAACATGGTCAACAGATTAACATATGGGGTTTTACCTTTGGACGGCAGCATGATGAAGCGGACCAATGTTACGTATTAAATGTTTTGGCCTCTTGGGGAACAGGGGTTTTGTTCTGTGTGCTTTATGGTTGTTACTGCATTACCTCGGCCCCGACGCCTTATATACGCCTCACAGAGGGGGCACTAAAAAAATACATGCCACCCAATCACGACACGTGTGCCACGCGCAAAATGCTCACACGAGCGGCTGAAATTTCAGCGTCAGCTTACGACACAAAAAACTCAGCATCCTGGACACGTCACCCACTTAACATCGCGCAACTGTATAGCTCTTTTTGTGTTTGGCTTATTTAGTTGTTTTTTTAGGCGAGGGCGGTGGTTCCAGACATATCTGGCAGCGGACTAAAGCGCGTTTGGTGTGGTGGCTGCTGACAGTTAACAGCACGGTAATCATGCGCTGCCACGGAAGCGGCGGGGTAGAAATTGAGTTGCAAAACTGAAGCAGTTCACGTTGGATGCTCGGCTGTGGTGCTTAGGAATCAGGGCAAAATGACGAAAAATATTTCCTCATGCGATTGCAACATGCGTGACGTCGCACAGATGTATGCGCTGTATGTATGTATGCATGGTGTATGCACGCCTCATGAGATACCAGGCAGATCCGAAACGTGCAGAGTGAGGCATGCTCTAAAATAGAGTCCACAACATTTGTCTACCGATCAGTTAAAACGATGTTTGTTTGCAGATTGTGGCCAAACAAACAGATTATCTCAAAAGTGCGTGCAGTTATGGAATGAACACCTTACCTATGTATGTTCCCGTGGATAACAAGTGATTTTGAACTATGTGACCGCTCCGACATCACCTTCTTGAGATGATCAAAGATTGTCGAAGATGTTTGCTTTCAAATGTTTAAAAGCAAAAGAAAACACGGACACCGCGAAGGCTCAAGACATACGCACCAAAAAATCCAGCGTAACATACAAGCGCGTACATTGTCGCAAGACCGCTGGAGCCGTGCTGTGACACACGTCGTGAGATAACATAAGAAGCAACAGTAGTGCATGCATAAATATATATGCATAGAAAAAGGTCTGTGCTCTCACATCATTCGTTTCTAAAAAGCCTTACCTCCACCACCCCAGTAGAACAGCATTGGAAAGACCAACAAGTCGTAGGGCCCGAAGATAGAGGCCGCCACGGCCAGCTTTCCGTCAAACCAAGGACTCCACTTGGGCCGGGAAGAGGTCGCTGACCCCTTCTGACCCTGGGCCGCGTCGGTCATGACGTCGGCGCCTTCCGGGGTCATGTCTGCTTAATCCGCTCTCTGGGCGTCCCAAAGCGACCCTGAAATCATGCCACGAGAGCGCTGCTGAAAGTGTCTTAGTTCACCCGATACATCGAAAGTCGTTTCTAGCATTAGGACTTCTGGGGGCTGGGGGCGCTATCAGAAACAGGACTTGGGACAAGCACGTGCGGGGAACGTCGCCATGGGGAAGAGAGATGCGCATTATTGGCTTCAGAGAATTAAGGAGGGCTTCGAATAACAAGCATGCTTTAGAATGTTTCATTGGTACGCCATGGTTTGTAAAACGGCGGCAGCCAGGGATCCTAACCTGTCATGCCGACCGGCTACACTGTCATCGCCCGCTGAGGACTTCCTAGTCGCAAGGCGGCCAGCGCCACACCGGCAGTTGGGCGTCTCTGCATTTGCGCCTTGGCTGGCCGCTAATGGGTCCTGAACCCTCTATCAGGAGGACATCCTACACCAACCCACCCGCTATCAGGACATCCTGCGCCAACCCACCCGCTATCAGGAGGACATCCTGCACCAACCCACCCGCTATCAGGAGGACATCGTGCACCAACCCCCCGCTATCAGGAGGACATCCTGCACCAACCTACCCGCTATCAGGAGGACATCCTGCACCAACCCACCCGCTATCAGGAGGACATCCTGCACCAACCCACCCGCTATCAGAGGACATCCTGCACCACACCCGCTATCAGGAGGACCTCTGCGCCAACCCACCCGCTATCAGGAGGATGTCCTGCACCAACCCCCACTATCAGGAGGACGTCCTCCACCAACCTACCCGCTATCAGGACATCCGCACCAACCCACCCGCTATCAGGAGGACATCCTGCACCAACCACCCGCTATCAGGAGGACATCCAGCACCAACCCACCACGCTATCAGGAGTGTCCTCCACCAACCTACCCTATCAGGAGGACATCCTGCACCAACCCACCCCTATCAGGAGGATGTCCTGCACCAACCCACCCGCTATCAGGGACATCCTGCACCAACCCACCCGCTATCAGGAGACATCCTGCCCAACCCACCCGCTATCAAGAGGACGTCCTCCACCAACCTACCCGCTATCAGGAGGATGTCCTGCACCAACCCACCGCTATCAGGAGGACATCCTGCACCAACCCACCCGCTATCAGGAGGACATCCTGCACCAACCCACCCGCTATCAGAGGACGTCCTCCACCAACCTACCCGCTATCAGGAGGACATCCTGCGCCAACCCACCCACTATCAGGAGGACGTCCTCCACCAACCTACCCGCTATCAGGAGGATGTCCTGCACCAACCCACCCGCTATCAAGAGGACGTCCTCCACCAACCTACCCGCTATCAGGGGTGTCCTGCACCAACCCACCCGCTATCAGGAGGACATCCTGCACCAACCCACCCGCTATCAGGAGGACATCCTGCACCAACCCACCCGCTATCAAGAGGACGTCCTCCACCAACCTACCCGCTATCAGGAGGACATCCTGCACCAACCCACCCACTATCAGGAGGACGTCCTCCACCAACCTACCCGCTATCAGGAGGTCCTGCACCAACCTACCCCCGCTATCAGGAGGACATCCTGCACCAACCCACCCGCTATCAGGAGGACATCCTGCGCCAACCCACCCACTATCAGGAGGACGTCCTCCACCAACCTACCCGCTATCAGGAGGATGTCCTGCACCAACCCACCCGCTATCAGGAGGACATCCTGCACCAACCCACCCGCTATCAGGAGGACATCCTGCACCAACCCACCCGCTATCAGGAGGACATCCTCCACCAACCTACCCGCTATCAGGAGGACATCCTCCACCAACCTACCCGCTATCAGGAGGACGTCCTCCACCAACCTACCCGCTATCAGGAGGATGTCCTGCACCAACCTACCCGCTATCAGGAGGATGTCCTGCACCAACCTACCCGCTATCAGGAGGATGTCCTGCACCAACCTACCCGCTATCAAGAGGATGTCCTGCACCAACCACCACCTACCCGCTATCAGGAGGACGTCCTGCACCAACCTACCCGCTATCAAGAGGATGTCCTGCACCAACCCACCCGCTATCAAGGATGTCCTGCACCAACCTACCCCTATCAGGAGGACATCCTGCACCAACCCACCCGCTATCAGGAGGATGTCCTGCACCACCCCTACCCGCTATCAGAGAGGTCCTGCACCAACCCACCCACTATCAGGAGGATGTCCTGCACCAACCTACCCGCTATCAAGAGGATGTCCTGCACCAACCCACCCACTATCAGGAGGATGTCCTGCACCAACCTACCCGCTATCAAGAGGATGTCCTGCACCAACCTACCCGCTATCAGGAGGATGTCCTGCACCAACCTACCCGCTATCAGGAGGACATCCTGCACCAACCCACCCACTATCAGGAGGACGTCCTCCACCAACCTACCCGCTATCAAGAGGATGTCCTGCACCAACCCACCCACTATCAGGAGGATGTCCTGCACCAACCCACCCGCTATCAGAGGATGTCCTGCACCAACCCCCCTATCAAGAGTGTCCTGCCACCAACCTACCCGCTATCAAGAGGATGTCCTGCACCAACCCACCCGCTATCAAGGATGTCCTCCACCAACCTACCCGCTATCAAGAGGATGTCCTGCACCCCCACCCTATCAAGGCTGTCCTGCACCACCCACCCGCTATCAGGAGGACATCCTGCACCAACCCACCCTCTATCAGGAGGATGTCCTGCACCAACCCAACACCAGCCGGCAGCGAACTGAGCACCAATTCACCAGCTGATAGCAAGGCATTGCCGACTCACCAGCGGCTGGTATCCGCCTGGATAACAGTTGCAGCACCACAGCACCACCCCCTCGCCGCATGCGTGCGGGAGCGTCACTTGATCTGCTCGCCGGCGTCGGCCCCGTCCGTGCACGCAGCACATCTGTTACTCACCCTCCCCCACCCCCCCCCCCGCCCCCCCGCCCGCCTCCAAGCGGCCTTCAAGGTCGGGCAGACAATTCCAGCACTCGTCCATAAATTACTTAGGGATGAGCAGAAGAGCGGGCGGCGGGTGAGGTCTGGTCAGGGATCGCCTGAGAGCCGTGAGGTCTGGTCAAGGATCGCCTGAGAGCCGTGAGGTCTGGTCAGGGATTGGGGGAGAGCCGTGAGGTCTGGTCAGGGATTGGGGGAGAGCCGTGAGGTGTGGTCAGGGATTGCCGGAGAACCGTGAGGTCTGGTCAGGGATCACCGAAAGCCGTGAGGTCTGGTCAGGGATCGCGGGGAGCCGTCAGGTCTGATCAGGGATTGCCGGGGAGACGTGAGGTCTGGTCAGATCGCTGGGGAGCCGTGAGGTCTGGTCAGAGATCGCCGGGGAGCCATGCTGTCTGGTCAGAGATCGCCGGGGAGCCGTGAGGTCTGGTCGAGATCGCCGGGAGCCGTGAGGTCTGGTCAGAGATCGCCGGGGAGCCGTGAAGTCTGGTCAGAGATCGCCGAGGAGACGGCACACGTTCGTGAATCTGCTTCTTCATGATCTCCCGTTCCCTTTGCAGGATAGCTGATGTTTAAAAAAAAGCAAAAGTAAATTATGCGCTGGTGTCCAACCAGTCAAGTTTGGACCTTTCCGTTCAAAAAATGCCACTCGTTTTGAAAGTCGTCTGTTCCTTATAGATGTTCATCGCAGTTCTAAACTTCGCCATGTATATGGGGTGCAGCTTAATTCCAAATATACCGAGCATGCAACAGAAATTCAGCGGGCTCTCAATCCCCAAATGGTGCCAAGCATGAAACAAATTCGGCAGGGGTTCTCTGTGTACACACGATACCATGAGCTGGTTGTGTTATGTGCAAACATGACGTCAGTGGTAATCAGTCCGGTTAGGGATTACTGAATTAGAGGGTTACATGTTAAGGACCCACTGAAATGTCTTTCTCATCCACGTATCCACAAGTTGGGATTGATCTTCACATATCCGAAAAAATGCGATCTTAATACGTCGAATCGGCCCTTTAAACAAAATCAGCGTGTTAATGCTCGTAAGCTTCTGCAGCTTTTTGAGGACCACGATTAGGACTGAAATTGAAACCCACGCGATTCCTTCCTGATACGCTCATCGTGCATGTTTTGCACCAGCCATGGTCTTGTGTGTGCGTAGAGTTGCATTTGGAAGGCATGATACTTTGCGGGTGAGATGTAATGTTCTTTCCTCCTGACCTTCTGCTAATTATTCAATCTGAAATTGACTATCACTATCATTGCAAACCATATTCATCCATCTGCGAAGCTGTTCTAGAAGTAAAGAAACGTTTGAGATTTGAACCTGAATGGAATGTTTTTGTCTATATGACTTTTTTCTCGTTATGACAGCAGCTATTTCCACACCAACATTACCTGCAAAAGACGCTCACAACCCCTGAAATGATCATTTGTTGGGAAAAGCCCTTCTTCATATCATGCCAGAGAATCCCAGCCAAGACCTGCCTGTATTCGGACGCGCCTCGGGTTCCGCCCCCCCCCTCTCCCCTCCCCCCCCCCCCCCCCAGTAGCCCCGATGCGCCGGAGCCCCGGTCAGCTGACGGTCGGTTGTTTCGGGAGCCAGCCGCACCAACGGCTGCCTTCGTCTGCCACAACGGTGCGCAAGACTGACTGGGAAGACAACAGACTGGGAATGCAACCATCGTTCCTGGCAGACGTCCCTCTTTCGTTCCTCGTCAGCACATTACAGAAGGCAAGCAACGTGAATTGGCTGGATGCTTTCATGAACATGCTCAAATAACATGATTCCTAATTGCTCACACACACACGCGCGCACGCACACGCACACGCACCCTCGCACGCACACACACACGCACACACACACGCACACACACACCACACACACACCCACACACACACACACACACACAACACACACACACACACACACACACACACGCACACAGACACACACACACAGATACAGGCCACTGCATGTGTATATATGTAGTATTTATATGGATTTCTCTCTCTCTCTCTCTCTCTCTCTCTCTCTCTCTCTCTCCTCTCTCTCTCTCTCTCTCTCTCTCTCTCTCTCTCTCTCTCCTCTCTCTCTCTCTCTCTCTCCCTCGCTCTCTACATATGCAAATATCGCTAACTATTCGACCCTCTCATCTTCAGAGGACCACCACGCGTGGCAGCCATGATCGTGCCCACATCAGGGGCGAACGAAACCGCCCGCCCGAGACGGGTCACATCTCTCTGTTCTCAGTGTGAGAACCTGGCCGATTGTGCCCCAGGGCGTTCTCCGGAGGAGGCCACATGCGTACGGTCACCGGCTGAGCGAGCCGATCAGGGGTCACATGTATGTGGTGGTGGCGGCCGACGCTGCAGCCCTAGGGTCAGGGGATCCCGGCCGGCCGCTGCTTCCACTTGCTCGTCTGCGACCGGCGAGCGCGCCCGTCTCTCGGAATGCAAACGCAGGGTTATGATTCGTTCTGGCGCCAGACGCCATCTGCAAGTTCTTTATTAGCCTTGGAGCGCCGTATATTTATTCAGAGATCTGAAGTACGCCGCGCTGCGTGTACCACATCCGCTCCAGCGGCCCGGCCGGCCGCTTCGACCTTCAGCCG